ATAAACTCCTATTTTTCAGGGGCTTATAATCTTGCTCTAAAACATTGTTCTGGATTACAAAATCTTGATCCGGGGAGCTTTTTTTTTGGTTACAAGTTGGAAGAAAAATTCAGTTTAGTTCTATGTATGCAAATGTTTCATGGTTTTTAAAAGATGATTAATTGTGCTCCTGTGATGAAAGTTTCAGCAGTTTATTGGTTACTGCATATCACAGGCTGGTGGCCTGATCTGCAGGGGGGTTTGGGGAGACTCCTTACCAAAAAATTTTAATGGAAATATTATTCAAGGTTATAAATTCCTCAAAGCCTACAAATTTAATGTTACAGCTGAAATTCCTCCCAGCTGTCTGATATGATGCCCCTGTGTGGGAGCTTTAGGCCCATAGGCCTGATGGGTTGAGAATGGAACAGCTCTAACTTTGAATTTTGTTGGCCTTTGATGGTCACGCTATACCCCTTTTCTCACTCTCAGACCTGTTGTTAGTAGCCTTGCTTTCTATAGAGCATGTACCAAATTCAGGGAGTCCACGTGGAAAGAACACTGTGGGCAGTGGCACAAGAGTCCACGAGGAAAACTCCTAGTGATGATATGACATTTGCATTTGCCCTACACAGAAATTTAGGGGTTTCTGAATCAAGCTTAATGTTTACAGTTTCCGAATAGCCATCTTGCAGTGTATAGCTTCCTTATAAAATTACCCCACATTCAGTTTTTCCATTATCTGCAAATTCAAACTTATTTTTAAGGTTTGTGTACAAGTCGACTGCTGTAAAGATATATATTTTGGGGTCAGTTTTTTTCCTTCATTAACTTCGTGGTAGAAAAATATATACACTTAGAAATCCTTAAATTAAAGCCATGTTTTATATATGTCAGGTAACATTGGTGTATAGATGAGAATGCAATTAAACCTAATGAGAATCTACTTGAGAATATAGAAAGTCTCTTTCTCTAAAGGAGATACTTACTCCCTGGTTTATTGCATTAAAACTTATGTTTGAGGTTACCTCAACTTGTTTTAAAAGATTTTGTTTTGTGAATTTGTACTGTATATTTGAGTAACTGTCAAGCTTTTGTTTTATTTAAAAATGTTTAACATGTACCATGTACATGTCATTACTATATTTCAATGCATCATGCTTGTAACAGGCATTTCATTTATAATAAGAATGAGTTATTCATTTGTAAGCCGTTCAGTAATTTATCTACTATTCCTAAATTGGCATAATGTTAGATATCTATTTTGAATCACCTTTAATTACATGTCAGAATGCCTTAACTACCCTAACTTGACAAAACAATTCTTTGGTAGAGGAGATGGGGGGTGGGGCGGGGGGTGGAGAGAGACTCTGTTTAAATAATGAGAATCCATCGTGCTGTGATAAAACACAGAAGCGTGAGTGGCAAGTGGCGGGGTATTTATTTTGCACAAACTATTTGCAGTCTCTGTGTATTTAAAAAGTAAAGAAAGTTGCATCCAGAAGGGTTTTGTTGGAAGGAATACATTTACACTTGGGCTGACAACTTCAGTTCTTTTGTTGGGTTTTTAATTATTTCTGGTCAGAGGTATGGAGCCTTATGATCTGGATATATTTTGTATTAATTTTCCAATGCATACATTTAATTCCAGGTAAGAGCAGTGCTGGTCACGTCACTGGCTTTCTCTGCACTCATCTAAACCCATCAAACACAGTCTTCATAAAGGTAGATTGATGGTGTTTTACACAACTCATTTAATCAACTTAGTCTTTTTTGAGGAATGAGCGTTAGAAATTGACAATGTGTTTGTTCCAGGGATGTTGAAAATAGTGGGACAAGAATTGAGTTTCACAGGGGAACTGACTTTGGACCTGGCCTGTAGATTTGGGACACAAAATATTTTCTCTTTTTTTCCCCTGCCCTTTTCGTGTTATGCACTTAATTTTATGACTGTGAGGGTCTGTTGGAGTGCTGCTTAACAAGTAACTTTCCTTCCACTGTCAGTGGTCAGAGGCTGTGTAGTACCCATACTGGAATTTTCCATGTCACAGGACCCAAGTCTTTGTGGGGTGTGCCTGAGATATACCACTTGGTGGGTCTAATTCTGAACTTGATGTGTTAATTGTATTTTAAATCAAGCAGTATAAACATACATATTGATACATTTGCCTCACGTAGTGGACTTTTATAACAAAAGAGAATTTGGATTTCTAATTTACAAATGGCAAATTATTTATCCCTCTCTGGATGCACCAAAGACCAGTAAAGTTTATAGCTTTTCCATCTATATTTATAAAGCAATACTGTATTATAAAGATCAATATTTTTATCACATGCTTGAAATTTTTATTTTGTTCTGTTTTAAAGTGTGCACTCTAAACATATCAGAACCTTATTTCTTCCTGTGAACTTAAGCTGCCTGCGCACAAAAAAGAATTCACCGAATGGATACACAGTAGAGTCCATAGGCTCCTAAAAACTGAAAGAAGAAATGAGGTGGGGAAAACAAGTTACTTGTCCTGAATTACTGTACTGGCTTGACATGGTTGATGGGTACTAAATCACAAAAGAATCCATTCCAGGTGTGCATGTCTGGGAGTTGGGCTGTAACTAGATTAGAAACTAGATTTCGAGCTTTGCATGATGGGCGAGTGTCTTATCACATCGGTTGCATTCGTTCTGGATAGAATAGTATAGCCTTCAGTACCGCCTTCAGTACCACCAACATACCACATCATGTAACAAGGCAGTAATTGTGGGAATTCACTGAGTCAGTTTTGAGCGTTTTGGAGATTGTAAACAAGATAGGCTAGAACTGTAAATGTTTGTACTTCTGATTAAGTTCATGGTTCCTTGTCACCTTATACCAGCTATCTTTGGTAGAAGCTACAGCATCCAATTTTCCTGGAAACTATCACATTTTTGCATTTAACAAATTTTACAACATCAAAAAAACAAAATCTGCTTATAAAACAAAATGTGAAACAGAAAACATTTGGATTCTATTGTTTAAAAAAATTAAATTCTTTGCAAAATTGAACTTCAACTAAAAATCGACAGTGTCCATGTCAAAATTTTAACTGTAAGCAGGTAGTTTGTGGCAAAGATGGCTAAATAATGAAGCAAGTCTGAATTTGTGTATACTAATGAGCTGCTTTTTTCTGTTGAGACTATCATTATTTGTCTTACCCAAGAGGCAGTGACCTGAATTGGATGTCTGAAGTATAACTTATGCAGGAATAGTTCTGTAAATACATTTAAATAAACTGTAAAGATATTTAATAAATATAGTATTTATACTAATCTGTGTACTCCTTTTAATTTGAGTAGTAACAAGATAAGACACTGGCCCTTGACATTGATTTTGTTGGTCCCTATCAGGTCCTCGTTTCCAAGCCTCTTAGTCAGTCTAGCAGTGACTCCATACTTTGTAGCTATCATTTCTGTCTTTTACTAGTTTATTCACTAAGGCTTTTTTTCACCAGCTCATTTACTACATCAGTTTAGCTTCCTCAAAAATTCGTCAAACTGGATTAATAATTGAATGTAACATATAGATGGTTTCCCAGCTGAGAAGCCTTTTGCATCTTCTAAATGATATGTGAAGTCAAACAAAAATCTGGTGTCATTTAAATTTAGCATTCTGTATCCAAATTCTAAAATCCAAACTGTATACAATTTGACAGTGTAACTGTCTTTTACAGACCAGTGCTGCATCTAGGTGATTACTGATGATGATGATGCCTTCACAGCTGAGACTGCCCTGGCCACTTTCAATGAGCGAACCAGAAACTTCATCCTCAGCAAGGAGACCTACAGTTACTCTCGGGTATAAATGTTCTCCGTGTAGTCATCTGCATTTATTAGGAATATGTGAAATTCAGTGTTAGTCACCAGTGTAAGCAAAAGATACATACATCTTTAGCCTACAATGTGAAATTATGTGGGCATTGCCAGTTTCCAAAAAAAGCTTGATGAAAGCCCAGTTTCATTCACTGAGGAACATTTTGGGATGAACTTGAGTTTTTATTAGGTTATTGTGGGTAGCTATGGCTCATTACCAAGCTACAAGAGCCAAACTCATTCTGGTTTTAGTTTGAACTCTGTTCACAGTTCTAAAGTTTACTAATCCACTCAGCCACCTTTGTCTTATTAATTCCTCACAAAATCTAAAGCACAATTGCTTGCCAATTAACATTTCCTTGTGATTTGATGGTTTCACAGGCTTAACAATTAAGGTGTTACAAAAGTCTAGTTTGTCAGGTTATAATTGACTCTAAACAGGTTTGGGAGAGGGAGAGGCACACATCATAAGATGTTATATAACAATATTTCTGTGCCAGATTTTTTATTCTGTGCAGGTAAGAAGCTAATTCTTAAAGAGGCAAAGAACAGAGACATTCATCTTCCACCTCATTCCCCTCCAAACCCAGGCTTTCTTGGCAGTGGAGGCTGCTGTTCTATATCAGATAATACAGAAATAATTTTTTGGCATCACTTCTTTTCTGCATCACACTGCAAAATTTTAAAGTCATATATTTTTACTTAAAATCTTAAAAAAATATAGCAAGCAATAGACCAAAAATGTTATGGCATTACATGCATAATTTTTTACTATGTCTGAAAGCACCAAAACTCAAATGTTTGCAATCAAACACAGAAGATACCTGAACTCTACAAGCCATATTGATGCACTCAAAATGGCTGCTAAAGAAAGTTTAAATACCTTTATAAAACTGGTAAAGAAAATGCTAAAAACTCTAGTGTGAGTGTGCACTGAATTGAAGAATTCTTTTTTATTTTTTTAAATTTTATTTATTTGGCTGTGTTGGGTTTTCATTGCTCCACGCATGCTTTCTCTAGTTGCGGTGAGCAGGGGCTACCCTTCGTTGTGGTGCACGGGCTTCCCATTGCGGTGGCTTCTCTTGTTGCGGAGCATGGCACGCAGGCTTCAGTAGTTGTGACTCATGGGCTCTAGAGTGCAGGCTCAGTAGTTGTGGCACACGGGCTTAGTTGCTCCACAGCATGTGGGATCTTCCCGGACCAGGGTTTGAACCCGTGTCTCCTGCATTGGCAGGCGGACTCTCAACCACTGCACCACCAGGGAAGTCCCTGAATTGAAGAATTCTAATGAGCTTTTTCCCTGCACAGAAAACTCTTCTCCCTCCCAAGAAGCATAATGGATTTAAAGCAAATTACATTTACTTGACAAGCAGCTATTTCTAGATATGGTTGTTGTATAAGAAGATGTTTAGAAAACTAGCAGCCCATTATCCATTTCAAGGAAGTCCAAGACAATATCTTCATAGGCTTAAGTGTGAAAATGTGTTTGAGGTGCAAGTGAGCCAGTAAATGGGTAGGGGGCCAGCTCAGCCATCATTAAGTGTTAGAATGTGGAAAAACTGCCATCATTCACGTCCTCTTCACTGTCACTTGCTGTTGCCAGACTGTGGAAAGGGTGGTTGAAGTGTTCTTGTTGGTCAGAAGAAACTGCTCCAAAGAACATGCAAGAAAACTGGAGGGGAAAAAAGTAACTGTACTGTTTATTCAAAGCAAGTTAGCGCTCATCAAATACCCCTTTTCAGAAGCTCAGCCAAGGTGGTCTCCCTGACTTTAATAGTGATGGTTCATGAAATACCCAAAACCTTCTTGAGTGGCCCAAAACATCCTAAAATAAAACCCTTCCCTGGACTCCAAAGGCACACAGTGTGGAATCAGTGGTCTGCTTCTGACTACCCTGCCCGAGCCATTGAAACTAACACCAGGGACTTCCCTGGTGGTCCAGTGGCTAGGACTCCACGCTCCCAGTGTAGGAGGCCCAGGTTCAATCCCTGGTCGGGGAACTGGGTCCCACATGCAGCAAATGCAGCTAAAGATCTCGCATCCCGCAACTAAGACCCAGCACAGCCAAATTAGTTAATTAATTAATTTTAAAAAGAAAGAAAGAAACTAACACTAAGACTGTGGGAGACAGAGATAAAGGGAGACACTGTAGGCCATCCTGCTCGACTCCATCCATCTTCTCCCCTTTCCCTCCTGCTGCGACAGAAGCAGCTACTCCTGACTAGAGCCAGTCCTCTCCCTGTCTCTGACTCCCAGCCCCTCCCATGCCTCTCCTCTACTGGATAAGAATGTCAGCATTTTAAAATAATCAAATGTCTCTCATTAAAATATATAAATAGCCTCATTCCCTTCCTCCCTCCATCCTTACCTCTGCTGTAGAGTTGTCTACACTTGCTTTCTCCATTTTCTCATTCTCCTATTCTTCCGTCCTATCTAAAAAAGCTCCTGACCCTCACACAGAAGCACTTCTCAAGATGGTCACCAAAAATTGCCAGATCCTTAAGCCAATGACCATTTTCAGTCTCCATCCCACTTGATAGTCACTCTGACATTTTCTTCTCAAACCTTCCTCATGCTGCACTCTCCTGGTTGCTCTTAGACTTTTCAGCTGGCTTGCCCTCTTCTACCCAGCCTTTGAATCAGGGTTTCTCAGCCTTAACACTACTGACATTTGAGGCCTGGTGCTTCTTTGTTGTGACGGCTGTCCTGCTCATGGGAGGGTGTTGAGCAGCATCCCTTGCCTCTGCCCACTAGATGCCAGTAGCACCCTCCTTCCTGAATTGTGACATCCAGAATTGTCTCCAGACATTGCCCAGCGTCCCCTGGCCCTGGTTAAGAACCACTGCTTTAAATAATGGCAGTACTCTCCCCTGCACCCTCTCCCTAGGAACTTTCTTTCACACTGCTGGCAGAAATTACTATGTATGTATATGCCAGGGAGTCTCACAGAATTTGAACTTCGTATATCCTACTACCCATTTGATTTCTGCCACTTAACATGTCCAAAATAGAATTCATGATCTTAGTGAGCATTGAACCTGTTGCTCCAGACCTTGATACCTCCTTTTCCCTTAAGCCCCATAACCAATCCATCACAGAGTCCTGCTACTTCTACCTCCTCAATTAGCTGTCTACTTTGGCCACTTCTCTCCATTGCTACTGAATCACCATCTCTCAGATGCCACAACTGAACTTCCATTCTTGCCTCACTGCATCCCATTCTGCACATAGTAGCTGCAACTAAAGTTATCTTTCAAAAATTCAACTCTGGCAGCCCTCCCTGTTAAAATCCTTCAAATACTTTAAATGCCACAGTACTTTATATGGCCGTTTACGTGGCTGTTTACATCTGGCATGAATCGGCACTCAGCAGTTACTCTAGTTTCATTCACCCTGTGCCATTGTTTCACCCTGGCTATCTGCCTGCTAACCACACTGGTCATCCTCCAGTTCCTTAAAACCAGCACACTCCCTCCATCACAGGGGCGTTTGCACATGCCACACATCCACTCAACTCCCCCCTACTACCTTATCCTTTCCAGTTCAGCTCAAACACCAATTTCAAAGAAGACGTTCTGACCTCCTAGATTAGGTCAGTTCATACCTTAAATCCTCTCAAAGCACCTTAAACTTTTCCTTTATTGAACTTACCACAGGTTTTTAAAAATTATCAAATATTTAGTCATGTGACTATTTGTTTAATGTCTGTCTCCCTCCTAGTCTATAAGCAAGTTTAGGAACGTTTCTTGTTTATTTTGCATACCATTGTATACCCCACATCTACAACACAAGACCTTCAACAAATACCTGTGGGAGTTGCATGGTAGGTAACAAGAATGAATAAGTGAATGATCCCTGTTCTTGGCTCATCCTCACACATCAGAAGGTGAAGATGCCCTCTGCATGGGGCAGTTCTGACAGCAGCTGTTGAACCCTCGCTCCAGATGAAACACCCCAAATTAGCTGTGATATAGCCTGTGGTAGGCAGAATGATGGCCTGCCCGCACCCCCAAAGATGTCCACGTCTTAATCCCGGGAGCCTGTGAATATGTTATATTACATGGCAAAAGGGAATTAAGGTAGCAAATGGAATAAAGTTGCTAATCAGTGACCTGGACTATCCAGGTGGGCCCAGTGGACTCACAAGGATGCTTAAATGTGAAAAGCAGGGCTTCCCTGGTTGGCACAGTGGTTGAGAGTCTGCCTGCCAATGCAGGGGACACGGGTTCGTGCCCCGGTCCGGGAAGATCCCACATGCCGCAGAGCGGCTGGGCCTGTGAGCCATGGCCGTTGAGCCTGCGCGTCCAGAGCCTGTGCTCCGCAATGGGAGAGGCCACAACAGTGAGAGGCCCACATACCGGAAAAAAAAAAAAATGTGAAAAGCAGAGAAGAGTCAGCATCAGAGTGAAGCAATGTGAAAAGGACTTGACTGGCCGTTGCTGGTTTTAAAGCTGGAAGGAAACCACAGTCGAAGAATGCAGGTGATCTCAAGAAGATAGGAAAGGCAAGAAAGCAGATTCTTCCCTAGAGTCTCCGCAAAGGAACGCAGCCTTGCCAACACCTTGATTTTAGCTCAGTGAGACCCATTTTGGACTTCTGAACTGTAAGATAATTTGTGTTGTCTTAAGCCACTGAATTTGTGGTAATTTTTTATAGCAGCAATAAGAAACTAATACACTGGCTTTGATTTTAATTGGAGGCATAGCCTCAGTTGCTTCTGAAGAGTCTAATGTTAACCAAGGTCAAGATCCAAAGGCTGGAATTGACCTAATGATAGCATCTGTGTCTGTTCAATGTATAATATCATGTGCAAATAGCTCTTCATAATGCTTACTGTGCTATATTAAACTAAAAACCTACTAGCTTACTTTGGACTTTGAGAGCTGCCCTGAATTTGCCACTGACTTAAGGTAAATGTCATTTGCTACCCCCCTTTTCCCTACCTACTCTTTGGCCTTTAAATCTTTCATGGCTGGATGATCAAGCCTTTCCCTGGTATATAACAGTCTTCTAATGGAGAAAGTTTATGAATGGCCATACAACTTGGAATTAGTCCAAATCCTATACGAATTGGGTAAGAAGATAAATTATTATAAAAATTTTAAAATAATATTCATATTCTCTTAAAAATAGAACTACCATACAATCCAGCAATTCCTCTCCTGGCTATTTTTCAGAAAAAAAACAAAAATGCTAATTCAAAAAGATATCTGCACCCCCATGTTCATTGCAGCTTTATTTATAATAGCCAAGATACAGAAGCAACCTAAGTGTCCACCGATAGAGGAATGGATAAAGAAGATGTGGTGTGTGTACACAGTGGAATATCACTCAGCCACAAAAAAGAATAAAATCTTGCCATTTGCAACAACGTCAATGGACCTAGAAGGTATTATGTTCAGTGAAATAAGTCAGAGAAAGACAAATACAGTGTGATTTCACTTATATACGGAATCTAAAAAGGAAAACAAATGAACAAACGTAACAAAACAGAAACAGACTCATAGATACAAAAAACAAACAGGTGGTTGCCAGAGGGGAGGGGTGTGGGGGGATGAGTGAAATAGGTGAGGGAGATTAAGAGGTACAAGCTTCCAGTTACAAAATAAATGAGTGATGGGGATGAAATGTACAGCATGGGGAATACAGTCAACAATATTATAATAACTTTGTATGGTGACTTTGGTCTTTGAAAACTGCCCTAAATTTGCTATTGACTTATTGTTATCATTTTGTAATGTACAGAAATATCAAATCATTATGTTCTGTACCTAGAACTAACATAGTGTTGTAAGTCAATAATACTTCAATTAAAAATATAATAATATAGATATTTCCCCCATTTTGGTGCCCCTGAGAGCTGTGTATAACTTACTGAAAATCAACAATGGAAAAATATATTGGTCATTTGAATATTAGAATATAGTAATACTCCTCTACAACAGTTTAATTTTGAAAATCCCCTTTCCCAAAGTAGAATACTACCATATTATTTATCTTTTTAAATAAGGTGAATTAAAATTGATTTCATTTTGGAATTTTGTGATACTACTTGAGGGATTTTAAAAACTTTCTTAGGCTATCCCAAACCGGGGCTGAAGGTTTGCCAACCACTGGCTATGCACTAGGAATACAGAGATGAGTAAGACTCAGGCCTGCCCTTGATGAGCTCACAATCTACCTAGTGGAGTAACAAGCATATTTATTAAATTATTACATGACATTAAAAATGAATAAAACAAACAAAATGATTAGAATGAGAAGACTTCAAAAAGAGACATATCACTTGAGCTGGGCTTTGAAGGGTGGGTAGGGGTTTGAACGGTGAAAAAAGGAATACTATCACCCCAGACTGTAGGAGCAATAGTATGAACAAAAGTAGGACACAAAAGCATTTGCTGAATGTTTCCACTAAGATCAGGAACTAAGCAAGCATGCCCACTCTCTCCACTGTTAATGTTGTACTAGAGATTACGTGCTAATACAACTGAACAAAAGAGTCAGTTGGAGAGATTAAAGAAGAAATGAAACTATCTCTATATAAAAATGATGTATAGCATGTCTGGAAACCCTGAGAGAATCAATGATAAAACTAATGGAAACAATAAAATAATTCAGCAGGGTAGTAGGATATAAAATTAACACACAAAAAAACAGTAGCCTTCATATACGCAAACAGTAGGCAGTCAGAAAACATAATGGTAGAGAAAACTATTTACAACAGCAATATAAACGGTTAAATTACTTAGGAATAAACTTAAATGTGTAAATGTATATGAGAAACATTTTAAGACACTCCTGAGAGACACAAAAGTAGACCTAACAAGTGGAAATATATTGCCTGTGTTTGGATAGAATGACTCAGCATCATAAAGGTGTCTCTTAACATCCCCAAGTTAACAGAAATTTAAGGAAATCCCAATTAAAAAAATACCAACAGACTTTTTCTGGAGCTAGATAAGTTGATATTAAAGTTCAAGTAAAAAATACACATTCAGAATAGCCAGGAAAAACTGACTAAATCTACAAAGGGATACTATCTCTACCAGACATTAAAACATACTCTGAAGGGCTGGAACTGGACCTCAGGGGAGGAAATGAGAAGATTTTATTAAATACCCTAGGGAAAGTCCCTGAATGCCATTCCAAGGGGTTTAGGAAAAATCCTATGGGCGAAGCAGAATGATCCAAGAGACAATAAAAGCAGGAGAGTGATGTATAACAATAACTAACATTTAATGAGCACTGACCATGAGCCAGCTCCATGTATTAGCCCAATTAATTTTCATAACAATTCAATTGGGTAGCAGCAGCATTATTCCCATTTTACTAACAGAAAGAAAACTGAAGCAAAGATAAGTAACTTATCCAAGTTACACAGCTAATAAGTGGCAAGACAGAGATTCCAACCCAGAAACTCTAGAGCCAGTGCTCTGGAGTCCTATACCTCATTGTAAATATAAGGTCTCAAAAGAATCTTCTGGTACACTGTGGAGGAAACCAGAGTGGAGGAGAATGGAGGCATGGAGGTCAATCAGAAGGCCCACCATAGTTCATATAGAAGGTGATAATGGTCTAAATTATTTACCCATAATGTAATTTCATTTCTGCAGGAGTTAAGGCAAATAATTCCCTTTAAAAATAGAACTTTCTTTTTAGAATTTAAGTGACATGATAGGAAATTTGAAGAAAAGAGTGCTGTAATGGTACTCATGGAGCTTACAGCTCTAAATGTCACTTTCCCTAGTGAGGAAATTGGCAATCTTAGTGAATTTCAGGGAAGTGAAGCAGCAGGAAAATGTATTCCTGTTGCTGCCTGCGAAAAAGTAAGCACAATATGTGTGACCAAAAAACAGGATGAGGAAAATGTTTCTGTATAATGAAAAGACAGATTTCAGTTTTCACTTTATGGCCAAGCTAGTAATTCACGAGAAGAGAAAATTGCCATAAGTGCCAGGCATATCAGGTATTCAATAAACACTGTGGCATCAAACTGAATAATAAGTGGAGTTTACTATCCAATTTTACTACCCTAAAAGTCTTCATACAGTGTAAGTAGTGACTTTTAGTAATATTATTTCTCCTTAGAGTTATTTCTAACTCTAAGAAACTCATATTTCCAAACCAATAATAATAACAACAGCAAAACAAGCTTGAATAAAACATCAATATAAACATGTAAAACAGGGACTATCATTATTTGATACTTCGAATAAATTATGTTTATCTTCAGTTCAGTGGATTTCTTAAGGTTTAACACTATAGCATTTTGTGAGGTTTATCATCCATCTAGTAAAATAATGTTCTTAACTGGGACACCACTATGAAGGAATTTGTGATGTTTGTTGTGATGAAGTTTACATTTGTACTACCATGAATAAAGGATTTCCCAACCAAACTTGAAAAATAAAATTAGAAGGACATGTATTTTAGAAAGCAAAGTATATGACTTTAGCATATTATTTGTATTCAAAGATAAGTATGCTATAAGAAATCATAATTTATTCTTTAAAACAAGTGACTCAAATTTCTATTTGAATATACTTTGTTAGAATTACTCAATGAGCAATTTAACTATTTTGTATTGACATTCTGTAAATCAGCCTTTTCTCCATGTCAGACTGGTTTCACCTCTCCCCTAGCAAAAAATAATAAAATTAATTTCCCGGATATTGGAGGTGGGCTGAGGCAGGGAGATTGCAAAGGGAGACGGATGACGAGAGTTCTTGACTGAGATGCAGTTGTGTCTCAGTGTTTTTCTTTTACCTTCCTGAGATGTGAAGATCCTGGCACTTCCTCCGTGTCACTGACACTGCTTTCTGGTACTTCACTAATGTCTCTGTTCGCTCTTTCCGTTAATGGGCTGCCACGGTTTTCCAATGAAGAGACTTTCGTGTGAGTCTCAGAATAAAGCCTTTTGGGTACTGCTTTTCTCGAGATATACTCTGCGTCCTTGCTGGTTACATTTTTACCAGCCTCTGAATTTGAATGTATCAGCTCTGACCTGAGGTATTAATAGAGATTAAATGAATGAACTGTTTACTTTGAAAGATATATTTTTATATAACTAATGGATCAATATGGGATGACAATAACACTGGTTTAGGGAATATACTGAAATAACATTGAACTAATTGTTGAAAGTTAAGAGTTACATACATGATTATCTAGAAATTCTCTTGACAGATTCAGATTTTTCAGTAAAACAACCCAATGTATATGAGACAATCTTGTGACACGGTAATAGGGCGAAGTTAGAAAAAAGGTCAAATAAATTACAGTATGACAAAATTGTATAGAGTCATTAAAAATCATGTTTCCAAGTTATTATCAACAATACTGGAAAATGTTCACAATATAATATTTTGTGGGAAAAAAACAGAATACAAAACTACATATGCTATATGACCCAATCTTGTTTTAAAATGCAACTGTATGCAAAATTAAAAGTCTGAAAGAAAACACAGTGTGCCAAATATTAACAGTGGCTATCACTAGATGGTAAAATTGTCGGTGTTTTTTAACTTATTCTTTGTACTTTCCTGCATTTTCCAAATTTCCCATAGTAAGTTTATGTTACTTTTACAATGAAGCACCTTCCACCAAAAAAAAAGTTATTAAGAGACAAAAGGGGGAACTCCCTGGTGGTCCAGCAGTTAGGATCCGGTGCTTTCACTGCCGTGGCCCAGGTTCAGTCCCTGGTCGGGGAACTGAGATCCCTCAAGCCGCGCAGCACAGCCAAAATTTAAAAAAAAAAAAGAGAGACAAAAGGGGAAAAAAAGAAAGAAAAGCAATGGCTGTTTCTCTCTCTAAGAAAGAGAGTTCTGGGTAGTGAATACAAACTTTCCTGTGAACCTTAACACTGTATCACTCCTAAAAAACAACTACTGAAAATGGAAATGAGTTTTAGGTAACGACAAAGATAAACCAGGCAGTCCTGTTAAACTGTGATCATAAGAGAAAAAGCAAATATCTAGTGAAAGATGGGTGATATTTCTCTGTTACAGTTAGGTCTTCCTGGAGCTTTCCTGATTCAGTTAAAATTTCTGATCTTCTAATGTTTTCATCCTCAATTGTTTCCTAAGTGAATGCCATTGAATTATTTCAGAATAAGACTGCAATGGCTTTATCCCAACCAATAAAGACATTAAAACATGGCCTTACCTTTTTCGTTTTTGTGAAAGACACAGTGATTGTGGAGAAGATGCTCTACTTGGCTCATCAGCTAATGTAGCCAAAATAAAGTTGGCTTCCAATAACATATCGTCAATACTTAAAGCCATGGGTCTAAAAAAGACAAAGTCAGAGCAAACATCACACTCATCACACTCACACTCATTTTCTGATGGACATTGGGAAAACATTAAAAAATGATAATTTTGGAGTAAAAAGAAACAGTAAAAGTCTTGTCTTTTCACAAATTGAGACAGTCCTAAGAACTAAAAGTGTCCTTAGAAATCATCACATCCAATTTCATAAAACACATTCATCCTAGCCCAATCTCTCTGAAATTTTAGTTCTGAAATATCATGTAACATACCATAGTTTCATAGAGATTTAACTTGTTTAAGCCATGTATAATTTTCTAATTTGGCAATTTATTCAGTATGTCAAGTTTATAAATGTTTTTACTCTTCAGAATAATATATCTTTCTAAATCAAGTTACCAATAAAAAGAACTCTAGGTTATGACATCTTTCAAAATTTTAGTTTGATAAGTGTTGCTAGTAAAGTTAAGGAATTCCTGAGGTGTGAATTAATTTCAAAGTGAACCAAAGGGTTTTATTATTAATGTATGACAAAAGAAAAAGAAACAAACTCAGAAATTTCCCAAGGACCTACTTCCCAGGAAAATCAAAATGAATGGCTATAGGAGCATGTGTCGCTTCTGAAAATGTCAGCATTCCCTGAAAGGAAAAAAAGGGGAAAAATGTGAAATCTTTATTAAAAATTGCCATTGATAATTCTAATTGGACACAAATTTTGGTTTACCTTCAGTTCTTTGAAGCAAAATGTTATTTCAGTGTTGACTCCAATTTGATAGAAGTCAAACTCATCTGGCCCAACAAACATCTCACTGTATACAGAATTGGTCAAATCTGCTCAATGTTATAGGAAAGTAAAGAATAAAATTAGTTCCAGTGGTATTTGTTAAATTTTGATAAGAAAATAAAGCATAAGTGATAAGTTAAAAATAGCCATAAATTCTCTGACATTCCTTCATTGAGAGGTGGGGTCTATGTCTATGTCCCCTCCCCTTGAATCTGGGGTGAGTGGGCTCTTCGTCTGCTCTCACCAATAGGATATGGTGGAGTGACCTGGTGCTAGTTTCTGGTCTGGGCCCAGGCCTTAAGAGACTGGCAGCCTCCACTTCTTCAATCCCACAAGCCACACAGGGCAGCCAAAAAAAAAAAGTAAAAATCAACTTAGAATGGGAGAAAATATTTGAAATCATATATATGAAAAGGGGAGAAAAATAAAAAGACAAATAACTCAAGTGAAAAATAAGGGATGTGAACAGACATTTCTCCAAAGAAGATATACAAATAAGCAATAAGAACACAAAAAAAGATACTCAACATCATTAGTTGCTAGAGAAATGAAAATCAAAACCACAATAAGACAACACTTCACACCCACTAGGATGGCTATCGTCCAAAAGACAGACAATAACAGAGGTGTTGAATTTTTTTTCCCCCAGAGGTGTTGAATTTTGTTCTCTAATATTTTATTAAACTTTTATGTGCCTTTTTTAAAATGAAAATATGATGATACTATGCATACCATTTTATAATCTATTCAATAATGTATCCTGACTATTTTTCCATGTCAATAAGTACATTTTCCTAATTATTTATGTGTGTTGGTGTTTTGTGTTTTCCACTACAAAATTAACTTCAATAAACATCTTTGACATACACACCCAGAGAGAAAGAAATGTATATATACACACACACAAGACTTCTTTTTTTTTTTTTTGGCCACGCCACATGGCTTGCAGGATCTCAGTTTCCCGACCAGGGCTTGGACCCAGGCCACAGCAGCGAAAGCACCGGACCCTAACCATTAGGACACCAGGGAACTCCCAAGACTACTTTTAATAGCTTCATAGTATTTCACTAGACCAATCTCCTGTTGTCAGATCTAAGGTATATAGAAAGAGATGAACCAAACTATTGAGTACTTGTCTCTAGACAGTGGGATTTCAGGTGACTTTATTAGTGCTTTTTATGTGTTTTTAATTTTCTTCAATGAACATGAATTATGTAAGTGTAAGAACAAAGGAGAAATGGTATATATATTTTAAAAGGACCAAACAATACCTTACAAATACCTTCATCTCAATCAAGAAGGCTCATGTCATGACTTGTGTTTGCTGGGGGCGGCGGGGTGGGGGGGTGTCACTGGATTGGGAGATTGGGACTAGAAGATGGAAACTATTATATAGAGAATGGATAAACAACAAGGTCCTACTGTATAGCACAGGGAACTATGTTCAGTATCCTGTAATAAACCATAATGGAAAAGAATATGAAACAGAATATTTAAAAAATTAATTAAAAAAAAAGAAGACTCATGTCACTCCCAGTGTGCTGGCGTAGAGTAAGTTCAATAATAAAGTTAAACAATTGGGTCCCCAGTCAACCATAACTATAACTACTCATTAGAAAGCTTCTTACAAGGGACAGTGTCTGAATAAATGGCCATTTATTCAGAGATGGCATTATGAATATAAAACAGACCCTTTCACTAGCCAAGCATATATTTTCCAGATCATGCAACCCTGAGTGCCAAAACAGAATGCTAGATGGGACTTTGAGAGAAGCAATAAGAGCACAGTGGTAATGAGACTAAGCCCTGGAGCCTGACAGTCTATATTCAGATCATAATCCACCACTTATTAACTGTGTGACAGCGGGCAAGTCACCTAGTTTCTCTGTGCTTCATATTCTTCATATAGAAAATGTATACTAATAGTACCTACATCACAGACTTGTTACAAAGATCAAATGGATTCAGAAATGTAAACCATTTAGAACAGAACCTGGCACAAACTAGACCCTGCAAAGTCCTCTGACCCAACTTAAGCCCTGGTTATACTGGTTTTTCACTTCAAAATAATGTTTCTTCCTTTGTATTCTTTCTTTACAGCTATCACCAAAAAAAAAAAAAAAATCCAAGGTCAAAGAGTCTCAGACAAGTGGTGCCCATAATACCCTAGTAAATTTCCTTAATAGCAAAACTCCTGACTTAATCATGCTTTAGTTTCTCCATTCCATCTGTATAACTCTTAGAAGAGCTGACTTAATATTCACGTTGGGACTTCCCTGGTGGTGCAGTGGTTAAGAATCCGCCTGCCAATGCAGAGGACACGGGTTTGAGCCCTGGTCCAGGAAGGTCCCACATGCTGCGGATCAACTAAGCCCGTGCACAACAACTACTGAGCCTGTGCTCTAGAGCCCGCCAGCCACAACTACTGAGCCCACGTGCCACAACTACTGAAGCCCACGCACCTAGAGCCCGCGCTCCACAACAAGAGAAGCCACAGCAATGAGAAGCCCATGCATTGCGAGAAGAGTAGCCCCCACTCACCACAACTAGAGAAAGCCCGCGCACAGCAACAAAGACCCAACGCAGCCAAAAATAAAATAAATAAATTTATAAAAAATAATATTTCATTCATTAAGAAATATTCATATTTTCTGTCCTATATATTTGCCATCTGGAATATCTTACATTTCTAACTTAAAGTTACTTTTCCTTTTTATGTGGTCAAAGATCATCTCAACGGGATTGCTGGCCTCTTAATTTTTCTTTATGCTAAATACAAAGGATGAGAAATAGACCTTAAAATTTTAACTGAAAAAATATTTTTCTCAGTAACCATTCTAATTTTATTTTTTTAATACATTTATTTATTTATTTTTGGCTGTGTTGGGTCTTCATTGCTGCGTGCAGGCTTCCTCTAGTCGCGGAGAGCAGGGGCTACTCTTCCTCACGGTGCACAGGTTTCTCATTGCGGTGGCTTCTCTTTGTTGCGGAGCACAGGCTCTAGGCATGCGGGCTTCAGTAGTTGTGGTACTCGGCTCAGTAGTTGTGGCTCATGGGTTAGTTGCTCTGAGGCATGTGGGATCTTCCCGGACCAGGGCTCGAACCTGTGTCCCCTGCATTGGCCCAGTGTGTTCTTAACCACTGTGCAACCAGAGAAGTCCCATTCTCCTAATTATAAAACAATCTGAATTTCAAAGCCAAGTATTTTAATTACTGATTGTGACAAATTTCTCAGGTCTCTTAAAAATTTTAATGATCTTTCTACATTTTACTGCCTTTTAGACAAGAAAAAGTATTATGTCACTAATATTTACTGTATAACTGTACAGTAATCAGGAAAGCCAGGAAGTAATATTCCATCAAAGCACAGTGACAGATATAATCCTTACCCATTGATTCCTCATTAGAACTCTTAATGCAAACGTTCAGTGGAGTAACAGCAAGAGTAACTTCCTCTTGACTCGATGTAAAAAGAACAGTTGCCTCAGCAAGCACTCTATAAAATGTAAGGAACAGTAGTACATTATTTGAAGAACAAACAGAAAGAAATTATCATATTAAATGGAACTCATCTTTAACCTGGAAATAAATAGGTTAATTGTCCTGTATTTAGAAAAATCTACCCAAAAGACCTATCTTCATTCTTCTATATGAGCTGGTATATTTTTAGTATATCTTAAAATTACAACATTAGGAATCCCCTGGCCGTCCAGTGGTTAGGACCCGGCGCTTTCACTGATGGGGGCTGGGACCAATCCTTGGTCAGGGAACTAAGATTCTGAAAGCCGCTCGGCTGCAGCCAAAAAAAAAGAAAGAATTACAACATCATTTGAAGGCCAAGAGAATAGCAAAATATATTCTAAGTAAAACATGTGAAAACTGCAGAATAAACCAAACACTAGAATAAAATATCTTTAATTCTATGCTTTCACATCCCCAATACATTTTTTAACAAAAATGACCTGGGATCATACTCCTAAGGGAGATAGTAGAAAATGGAGATGTTCAAACAGAACTGGGGTGAACTATGCTGGAGACGCAGTCGAGGGGTAGAGGTTTACAAGGAGTCTGCTGCCTGTATTCTCTTTCCCTTTGTCACTTGTCCTAGATTATTAACTATTTCTTTCAAGGTTGTCCTGACATCCCAAATGTCCTTTCATCCTGGGCTCCCTTTTTTTTTTTTTTTTTGCAGTACGCGGGCCTCTCACTGTTGTGGCCTCTCCCGTTGTGGAGCACAGGCTGCAGACACGCTGGCTCAGCGGCCATGGCTCATGGGCCAGCCGCTCTGCGGCATGTGGGATCTTCCCGCACCGGGGCACAAACCCGTGTCCCCTGCATCGGCAGACGGACTCTCAACCACTGCGCCACCAGGGAAGCCCTGGGCTCGCTTTTTAAAAACACCTTTATTGAGATATAACTCACGTTCTACACAATTCACAGATTTAAAATTGTTTGATTTGCATTTCCCTAACAACAAATGGTGTTGATCATCCTTTTCACGTGCTTGTTGGCCATTTGCATACGTTCTTTGGAAAAATGTCCATTCAAATCCTTTGCCCATTTTTTAGTTAGGTTACTTATTATCTTTTTATTATTGCATTAAAAGTTCTGGCCTATTTTTTGTTTGTTTTGTTTTGTTATTCATTGCTGCGCACAGGCTTTCTCTAGTTGCGGCGAGCCAGGGCTACTCTTCGTTGTGGTGCGCGGGCTTCTCATTGTGGTGGTTGCGAAGCACGGGCTCTAGGCACATGGGCTTCAGTAGTTGTGGCACGTGGGCTCAGTAGTTGCGGTTCACGGGCTCTAGAACGCAGGCTCAGTAGCTGTGTTACAGGGGCTTAGCTGCTCCACAGCATGTGGGATCTTCCCGGACCAGGGCTCAAACCTGTGTCCCCTGCACTGGCAGGCAGATTCTTAACCATTGTGCCACCAGGGAAGCCCTGGCCTATTTTTTAAATTGAGGTGAGGTCAGATAAAAATGAGATTCTTAGAATTTCTGTAATGTTAGTGTTAACCTGCTAATAGACATTAGATTAGCAGAGTTTCTCGATGCCAAAATGTCAGGAACACCTACCAAATTAATCTGGAAACTTTTCCAGTGTTAAGGGAGAGGTGTTGTACAAGATACTAAACAACCTGATACCAGAAATGACAATATGAATGTGCAATTCAAAAAGGAAGAAAAATACAAATTGCTAATAAATATATGAAAAGATGCTCAAACTCCCTAGTAATAAAATAAACACCAAAAAATGACTTTTTATATATTAAAAAAAAAAAAAGACTATGTCTTCCATAATAGGAGTTTCCTTCTCTCTTTCCCTCTCTCTCTCTCTCTCTCTCTCTCTCTCTCTCTCTGGTTACCAGGTGCCATGTTGTGAGGACAATCGGCCAGCCTACAAAGAGGCCTGCATGGTGAGGAACTGAGGCCTACCAGCAACCACATGGGTGAGCTTAGAAGCTGACTTTCTGAGGCCTCCCACAGCCAGGTCAGTGAGCTTGGGAGTGAAATTCTCCAAGTTCAGCCTTCAGATGAGACCACAGCCCTGGCTGATGGCTTGACTTCAACCTCATGAGAAACCTTGAGCCAAAAGCACCCAGCTAAGTCACACTTATTATTTTGAAGTAATAAACGTCTGGGTTTTTTTAAAGCTTTAAGTTATGGGGAAATTTGCTTCACAGAAATAGGTAACTAATACACTATCTTATGCACTACTAGCAGCATTGTTTGTGATGGCAAAAAGTCGGAAACAACCAACTTTTTCACTAATAGGGTAATGGGTAACTAAATTATGGTTCATTCATACAAGTAAAAATTATGCAATCGTTAAAAAGAATAAAATTGATTTAACTAGGGCTTCCCTGGTGGCGCAGTGGTTGAGAGTCCGCCTGCCGATGCAGGGGACACGGGTTCGTGCCCCGGTCCGGGAAGATCCCACATGCCGCGGAGCAGCTGGGCCCGTGAGCCATGGCCACTGAGCCTGCGTGTCCGGAGCCTGTGCTCCGCAACGGGAGGGGCCACAGCAGTGAGAGGCCCGCGTACCGGAAAAAAAAAAAAAAAAAAAAAATTGACTTAAACTGACATAGACACTAAAAAAGGAAGTTGCCAAACAATAAGGATGGTAGGACATTTTCTTTTAAAAAACTATGTATGTGTCTAGTAGGTGATATAAATTTGAGAGAGAAGGAGAAAAAAAGAGAAAGAAAGATATCCATAGCTATAGGGAAAAAGAAAGTTATAGAAAGACTGGCTATAAATAGAAGATGATATAGAAGGATTACACCAAATTGTTAATAGATGTTAAACCCCTGCCAAGTGGGATATATGTGGCAAGTAGAAGAGAAAGACTTCCATTTTTCATCTCTGCACTCTTCTATAAATTTTAGATGTATTGCAAGGAGCATGTATTTCTTTTGTAATTTAAAAAACAATAAGGATAAAATATCTTTTGGCTTACAAAGTAATTAATGTTTAAACTACAGCTTAACTGAAAAATTGAGTACCTTTCACTGACAAATATGTCCCACTCATTCTCTAGAAAAAACAAACAAACAAACACTTAGGGATAAAATCAGTTCATGTAAAAGTGTTAAAATTTCCTCATGCTGTGTGTGTTAAGACTCAGATAGAAGGAACCATATAAATGCAAAGTATTATTAGATAATATATTTTTCTCTTAATACCACTTGATGTAGAAAGCCACTGATGGGATACTTCTAGAACATTTTGGCCACTAAATTATTATTTCTACCATTAGGCAGTTATTATTATCTACTTTTACCTTTCTCAAGGTTTCCTCTTGATCCTTTAAGGTGATTTCTACAAGTCCAGTGTTAGCTTAAAAAAATGTAACTGATTTAAAAGCTCTAGGCTATTAATTCTTTACTCTGTGACCATAATATATTCAGAAAAATAAAAATAAACAACAGAGAACTCATTACCTTGGTTGAATCACTAGTGTATTAGAACACATATTCTTTTCAAAAATAACTTGCAAAGGCTGACTTTCTTGAAAACACAAATTATGAATCCTTTTAATACCTTAAAAATAATAAAGCAACCTGTTAATAATTTTAAGTGCAAAATTAACATATTTTAAAAGTCTTTAAGTTTCAGAGCCAGATTAAAATAATAAAATTAAAGTAATATTTAATATCTGACAGGTGCACAAAGCTTACAAGAAGCACTATCCCTTAATGAATGTGTTTATCGCTCCCTAGTGGACACCATGTAACATGTCACACCCTCCAACCAATTAGGCAGTAGAGTTCCCACATTCTTTTGAAATACAGGTAATTTCTTAAATTGTGTGTAAAATAGTAATTGCCCACTACAGATTATATGTCTATGATTCTTTTTCAGTATTTTTCATCCAAACTGATATTTTTGGATGGGAACTTTAAAAGTAAAACCTGAGCATCCGGTCTGTGAATTCTTTCCCTCTGAGAGGAGGAGAGGAGTGTGGAGCAATAATGGCTATGGCCCAATGTACCGGCAACTGCAGGATATGTTGTACGTACATTACCTCTGATCCTCACAATATGCCTGTGGGATAGGTACTTGATCTCAGAAGAGGAAAGTATAGCTCTAGCTCTGTTAAATGACTTCAAGGCTATGCTGTTTTAACAAGTATAGCTAGAATTTGAATCTAAGTTTGTTTTATCTCTCTTTTTTTTTTCTGAATCTGAGTTTGAATATGGAGCCCGTGTAATAAAATCCAGGTGGGCTATAACTTTCTACAGCATAATAATGTTATAATAAGAATCAAAAGGATTCACTATAAACATTTCTAACTTATTTTTTAACTGAATTAATAACAACAGCAATATTTATTATTTTCATAAATATTTACTGAGCACTTACTGTGTACAAGGCTGATCAGTTGTTCTTTTGTTTTGTTTTTTGTTTTTTTTTTTGACCGCGCAGTGAGGCATGTGCGACCTTCGTGACCAGGGATTGAACCTGTGCCCCCTGCATTGGGAGTGCGGAGTCTTAACCACTGGACCGCCAGGGAAGTCCCTGACCACTTAGTTGTTTTTTTTTTTTTTTAATTAATTAACTATTTTTTTGGCTGTGTTGGGTCTTTGTTGCTGCATGCGGTCTTTCTCTAGTTGCGGCGAGTGGGGGCTACTCTTCATTGTGGTGCGCGGGCTTCTCGTTGCAGTGGCTTCTCTTGTTGCAGAGCATGGGCTCTAGGCGTGCAGGCTTCAGTAGTTGTGGCACACGGGCTCAGTAGTTGTGGCTCACGGGCTTAGTTGCTCCGCGGCATGTGGGATCTTCCTGGACCAGGGCTCTAATCTGTGTCCCCTGCATTGGCAGGCGGATTCTTAACCACTGCGCCATCAAGGAATTCCTGATCAGTTGGTTTTTAATGGATAACAAACCACAAAATTTAATCAGAAATTTAGTGGCTCAAAATAACAAACATTTGTTATTTCTAACAATTCAGCTGAGTGGCTCCTCTGGTTTGGGTTGGCTTAGCTGTGGCTGGATCATTTTGAATGGCCTCATATTCATATCTGGGGCCTCACAGTTGGGACAACAGGGACAGCCGGGATGGCTGGGGCCTCTCACCACATGGTCTCCTATCTTCCAGGAGTCTTCGCTGGGCTGTGCTTATTCTCATGCTGATGAAAATGTTCTTAGTTTAACAGTGGAAGCTGACAGGCCTCTTGAGGCCTAGGCTCGGAACTCACACAACATCACTTCTAGTGCATTCTATTGATATAAAAGCAACTCCAAGGCCAGCTGAGATTCAAAGTAGGGAAACACACAGGGATGAATTTGGGAGCTGTGGACTAGCAAAGAACAACTCAGACAAAAATTTCTGACCTCACAGAGCTTACATTCTAGCGAAGGGAGGCAAACAATAAGAAAATCAAAAGCAGTACTTCCTTGGTGGTCCAGTTGTTAAGACTGCGCTTCCACTGCAGGGGGCACAGGTTTGCTCCCTGGTCGGGGAACTAAGATCCTGCATGCCGTGTGGTGCAGCCAAAAAAAGAAAAAGTAAAATAATTTGTCTGTCACATAGTGATAAGTAGCACAGGAAAAAAGGAAAGCTGAAAGGGGGCTGGGGAGTGCCAGTGGTGGTGGGCAGCAATTTCAAATAAGGAGGTCAAGGAAGACCTCATGGAAAAGATGCCATATGAGCAAGACTGAAGGAGGTCTTTGAAAGAGCAAGCCATGTGCTATCTGGAGAAGGAGCTTGCTAGGCAGAGGGAACAGGGACCCAGCCTGGGACTCCCAGATCATGTGGTATCTTACCGGCCATTGTAAGATCTTCGGCTTTTACCTTGGGTAAAATGGTGAGCTTTTTGAGAGTTTTAAGCACTGGAGTAACATAATCTGACCTATTTTAAAGGGATTACTGTGGCTGCTATTTTGGGAAGACACAAAGCTCAAAAGTTGGCATATCTTACTTATTTTAAAAAATATTTTCAAGTTACTTTTAGATGGATAGGTAATAGAAGGTAATAGATGTACATGGTATAAAATTCAAAGGATACCAAAGAATAGACAGTGAAAATAAGTCACCCTCCACCTCTGACTCCTGCCACCCCAGTACCCTACTCAGAGGTAACTACGGTTACCAGTTTCTTAGGTATTCTTCAGAAATAGCCCATGCATATACAAGCACAATCATATCTCTATAACAAATACCTGACTTGGGTGAATGTTCTATTGGCATTGCCGAGGATGTCCAAGCTGAGAAATGCCTTATTTCTTTGTCATCCCTGATGCTTTTTTTCTTGCTACTTGCTTCCTTCCCCTTTTTCCTTAACACACGCTAAACACTTGCAGTCTATACCTTTGACCACACTGCTCCCTCATCACAGAATGCCTTCCCATTTCTGACTATTAGAAATTTAGCCCAGGACCAGATGACTTCACAGGCAAATTCTATCAAACATTTAGAGAAGAGCTAACACCTATCCTTCTCAAACTCTTCCAAAATATAGCAGAGGGAGGAACACTCCCAAACTCATTCTACAAGGCCACCATCACCCTGATACCAAAACCAGACAAAGGTGTCACTAGGAAAGAAAACTACAGGCCAATATCACTGATGAACATAGATGCAAAAATCCTCAACAAAATACTAGCAAACAGAATCCAACAGCACATTAAAAGGATCATACACCATGATTGAGTGGGGTTTATCCCAGGAATGCAAGGATTCTTTAATATATGCAAATAAATCAATGTGATACACCATATTAGCAAATTGAAGGAGAAAAACCATATGGTCATCTCAATAGATGCAGAGAAATCTTTCGACAAAATTCAATACATTTATGATAAAAACCCTCCAGAAAGTACACATAGAAGGAGCTCACCTCAACATAATAAAGGCCATACATGACAAACCCACAGCCAACATTGTTCTCAATGGTGAAAAACTGAAACCATTTCCACTAAGATCAGGAACAAGACAAGGTTTCCCACTCTCACCACTATTATTCAACATAGTTTTGCAAGTTTTAGCCACAGCAATCAGAGAAGAAAAAGAAATAAGAGGAATCCAAATCAGAAAAGAAGAAGTAAAGCTGTCACTGTTTGCAGATAACATGATATTATATAGAGAGAATCCTAAAGATGCTACCAGAAAACTACTAGAGCTAATCAATGAATTTGGTAAAGCAGCAGGATACAAAATTAATGCACAGAAATCTCTTGCATTCCCATACACTAATGATGAAAACCCTGAAAGAGAAATTAAGGAAACACTCCCATTTACCATTGCAACAAAAAGAATAAAATACCTAGGAATAAACCTACCTAAGGAGACAAAAGACCTGTATGCAGAAAACTATAAGACACTGATGAAAGAAATTAAAGATGATACAAACAGATGGAG